CACATGTTAATTCTATATTGGATATTAAATATCATATAGTACGTGTTAATTTCCCAAATCTTCATTTGCGAAGCCTAGCCATGATGATGAGTATGTGTTAATTAGATATACTATAGTGTATATGTAGTATATATTTTATATATAAATACTTAAACCATATTATATAACATACATTATATATGTTATATGCTGAATATATGTATTAATAAAAATAAATAAGTATGTGTCCCCATGTCCCACATCCTCCATATCCCCGTGTCCCCATATCCCCCATGTCTCCATGTCCCCATGTCTCCATGTCCCCCTGTCCCCATGTCCCACCTGTGCCCGTTCCACATCCACGGGTGCCACAATGTCTCTCTGCCGCCCGTCTGGGGTCCCCTCACTGGTGCAGATCTCCAGGAGCACCCGACCCCGATAATCCACCCCCAAGTCCTGGGTAACAAAGGGGAGGTTTGGGTGGGCGTCCCTCCCCAAAAAGGCCACTGTGCCCATCCTGCCATCCCCTTGTGCCTATCCCGTCACCCCCCTTGTGCCCACCCTGTCACCCTCTCACTCTGTACCCGGGCACAGTCGGGCCGGGGGCCATACAGGGGCAGGAAGGCGGGTCCAAAGCAGGGTAGGAAGCCGGGGGTCCCCCCTGAGATCAAAAAAAAGGGGGGTCAGGGTACCAGGGGGGGTCTGGGTGCTGGGGACCCCCCAACAGTGGACCCTGCTCACCCTGGAGTTCCTCAGGGTCTTGGTAGATCTGGGACAGGTGGATGGTGGCAGCGCCCAGGACTTTGCTCCGGCATGACCTGTGGAGGGGAGTGTGAGGGGTCCCCCAGACATGGGGGGTCACCCAAATGCAGGGGTGTTTCCCAAATCCGAGGAGGTGTCCCCCAATCCCAAGGTGCCCCCCCACTCACCCCCGGAGAAGGTCCAGCTGGATCTCCTCACAGATGGGGGGCAGCTGCAGAGGGAGAACAGAGGGTGTGGGGTGGGAAAGGGGGTGTGGAAATGAGAATGGGGGTGTGGGAATGGGGGTGTGGGGATTGGAATGGGGATGTGGGAATGGAGGAGTGGGTGTGGAAATGGGGTGTGGGGTTGGGAATGGAGGTGTGGGAATAGGGGTGTGGAGTGAGAAGGGGGTGTGAGAATGGAGGTGTGGATGTGGGAATGGGGGTATGGGAATGGGGCTGTCCCCCTTTTTTGGGTACCCCTGTTTTGGGGAGAGGTGTAGGATGGGGGTCTGGGGGGACACCTCACCCTCAGTGGGAAGAAGAAGACCTCGTTCCACTCGGGGTTGGCACTGGGGAGCATCACTCGGGTGCAGAGCTGCGTTGGGCAGAGCCGTGAGCCCCCCACCATCACCCAGTCCCCCTGTTTTTCCTGGTGCGCCCCATTCCCTGCCCAGCACTCACCATCCTGCCGGCAAAGCTGACCCGCACTGCCACCTTCCCCGAGTCCCTCCTGACGCCCAGGCACGGCCGCGCCGGCTCCACTGCCACAGGAAGGGGAGACAGATGAGCAGGGGAGTCCCCCAAACCCCCACAACCCCAAACCCCCCTGTGCCTACCCTGTGGCAGGTCCTGGGCGCAGTACACGCGGATCTGCAGCATGGTAGCACATGGGGGTGGGCGCAGCAGGTTGGATTTCACGTCCTCGTCCCCCGCTGGCACCTCCTGCTCCTTGGGGAGGTGCCACAAATTAGGGAACCCCGCAGGAAGGTTTTCGGGGTGCTGAGGGGTTTAGGGGGCCTCACCTGCACTCTCTCCCCCGCCCGGCGCACGGCCAGGCTGACCTGCAGGTACCCCCGGGAGTGGCTGTCATGGTGCTGTGGGTGCTGCAGGCTCAACCACTGCCAGCTCAGGGTGCGCCCTGAAATGGGGGGAGACCTCGTGATCACATTGGGGTCACCCCAGAATCACCCTGGTGTCACTCCAGTGTCACCTCAACCCTCTCGCCCACCTGGTGCAGAGTACACAGTGCCGATGTCGAGCTGCAGGGATGGCAAAGGGGTGAGAGTGATCCCACACCCCATTCCCAACAACCCATTCCCCTCGCCCCGTTCCCAAAACCCCATTCCTGATGCCCTGTTCCAGACCCCCCATTCCCAACATCCCATTCCCGGCACCTCATTCCCAAGTCCAACTCCCAATGCCCTGTTCCAGTCCCCCATTTCCCAATTCCTCATTCCCAAGCCACATCCCTCACCTCGAAGGTGCCAATGACAGCTTTGGTGCAGAGGTTTTGGGAACGGAGCACCTGTGACAGGGAGGGGATATGGCATCAGGAGCCACCTCCTGTCCTTGTCCCTGTTCCTGTCCCTGTTCCATCCCTGCCAGTGCCACCAATCCCTCCCACCTGGATCCGGATGGGCTGTGCCACCAACTGCTCTGGCGTCTCGTGGAAATTTTGGCAGAACACCTAAGGAAAGGGCAAAGAGGGTGAGCGTGGGCTGAAGGACACTGGGGGTCCCCGTGTCCCCTCCCCGGGGTCACCTCATTGAAATAGGGATTGTTCCCTGTCCGGCTCCGGGTCCGGAAGTGCCGCTTCCCTATGAGCACCTTCACCACCGGCCTGATATTGTTGCCCTGGAGCTGCCGGGCCTGGATGATCCTCACCCGAACCTGCGGGAGAGGGACCACAGTGGGCGATGGGTGGGATACCACCCCCGGGGGTCTTGGGGTCCAGGGGGCTTGGGTTGGAGTCCAGGATAGTCTTCGTTTGGAGTCCAGGGTAGGCTTGGTTTAGGGTTAAGGGACTTGGTCTGAGGGTCCAAGAGATTTTGATTTGGAGGCCCAGGGGGATTGGTTTGGGGGTCCAGGATAGGCTTGGTTTGGGGGTCTAGGAGGTTTGGTTTGAAGGTCCAGGGGGCTTGGCTCAGTTCGGGGTCCAGAATAGGCTTGGTTTGGGTTCCAGGGGGATTGGTTTGGGGGTCCAGGATAGGCTTGATCTGGGGTTTAGGCCAGGCTTAGTTCGGAGTGCCATACCTGGAAATCCTCTTTCCTCTCCACAGGGGCCCTGCCAGAGTTCTGAGGTGTCTCCAGTGCCCCTGGCAGTGCCACCCATCCCTGACGGGTGACCGTGGCATTCCCAGCCTTGCCATGGGGGGTGTAGTAACAGCGGAAGGTGATGGTGCACTGCAAAGGGACGGTGACACCCCAGTGGCCCTGGTGGCACCCCAGGGTGCTGGAGGGGGGCTCTGTGGGGGGGAGCTCACCCCTGTGGGCTTATCCCAGCGGTCCAGAAGCAGGACATCCCTGCGGGCCATCGGCAGGCTGGGGTTGGCCACCAACTGGTCCAATGACACTGTGGTGCCACCCAGGTCCCTGTGGGGACAGGGGAACATGGTGAGGGTGGCTATGAGGTGGGGGTCACCCTGGGGTGCCCACCCACACCTGCCACTCACCCCCGGGGCAGCGGGTGGTCCCAGTGCTGGAGGCGCAGGCTCAGCGTGTCCGTGGGGCTTAGGGGACACTCGTCCAGTGACCACACTAGCTCCTGGGGGTTGGAGGGAGGTGACAAGGGGTCAGGGGGATAACCCGTGTGTTCCTGTGCCGCTGCAGGTCCCCCTGGGGTCACCTCACCTCATTCCAGGTGGGGCTGCGCTCCTCAGGTACCACCTGGGTTCTCCTGGAGGTACCTGTGGAGAGGACAAGAGGAGGGTGGTGGCACCTCAGGGTGGGGTCATTGGGGTAGCAGGGTAAGCCTGGCACTGGCCCCATGCATTGGGACACCCAGAGCTGTCCCCAGCTGTGGCCACCAACATCCTGTCCCACTGGGATGCCACCCCTCACACCAGGATGGCCAATACCACCCAGCCCCACAGGGACAGCCACTGTGGTGTCCCCTTCCTGTTCCCAGTGGTACCTCGGAAGCAGATGGACAGATGGACACTGGGACCAAAGCCAGTGGCCCCGGGGATGTGGACACTGACCACATGGAGTCGCAGCATGGCCAGGGACCATTGGCACTGGGGGTGGCGGCAGGAGTGTCACCAAGGGGCTGCCACCAATGTGCCACGCCTGAGGTGCTGTCACCGAAGAAATGGCTGCAGGTTTGTCACCAAGGGGCTGCCATCAATAGGCCACCCCTGAGGTGCTGTCACTGGTGATGGCTTCAGTGCTGTCACCAAAGAAATGACTGCAGGTTTGTCACCAATGTGCCACTCTCGAGGTTGTCACCAAAGGGGTGCCACCAATGTGCCCCTCCATGTGCTGTCCCCAAACTGATGACACCACAGCAGCATAACGGTTTGGTTCTCACGTTCCAGAATGTCAATGGGAGGGAGGCAGGGCAGGGACTGTTGGATGGATAGATGTGTCCCTGTGTCCCCATGTCTCTGCCATTGTGTGGCCATGTCTGTGAGCAGCCATGTCCCCATGTCCTTGTCACTGTCATGTCCATGAGCAGCCATGTCAGCGTGTTCCTGTGCCTCCGTGTTCATGTGCTCCCATGTCTTGTGTCACCCTGACGCAAAGGGGACATGGTGGGGACATTGGAGGGATGCAGAGGGGACAGGAAGGGGACACAGAGAGGGCACGGAGCAATGATGGAGAGGACAATAAGAGGGGACATGGAGACACCAGTGATGGAAAACGGAGGAGACACGTGGAAGATGTGAAGTGTTCGTGGATGGGACACAGGAAAGCGGAAACACAGGACTACAGGAACATGGGACTGCAAGACGATGGGAATGTGAGAACACGGGAACGCTCCCTCAACGCTCGTGTGCACTTGAGGGGTGGTGAAAGAGGTTGGACTGGATGATCCTTGTGTGTCCCTTCCCCCCAGGACATTATCGGATTCTTGTGCGTCCTTTCCTCCTCAGGATATTCTGTGGGAGCGCCCGGTGTCCTGTGCAGGGCCAGGAGTTGGACTGACTGATCCGTGTGGGTCTCCTCCCACTCGGACCATCGCACGAACCCTGGAGGTCCCTCCCTAATCGGGATATTCCCAGATTCCCTCATTCCCCTCAGGATATCCTCGGCATCCCGCCCCGCGCACGCGCGCTGCGGATGCGGGGCGGGGGCGGGCCCCGCGCACGCGCAGTGCGGGGGGGGGGGAGCGCTCCCGCCATGTCGCAACGCTACGGGGACCGCGATCGCGATAGGGAGCACGACAGGGAGCGGGAGCTGCAGTGGTCGGCCCGCAGGATGGGTACGTCGCTGCTGCTGCAGCTGTCGGCGCACGAGCGAGAGCTGGACCTCGTGTGCCTCGACCACAGCTACGCCAAGCCCTGGAGCGCGCACCCCGATGCCAGCGCGGCCCGGCCCGCCCGACTGCTCTTCATCACACCCCGCAGGCACCTCGGCACCGCCCCGTGAGACACCGAGGGGCTGAGGGGAGGACTGAAGGGGGAGGGGGGGGGTCTGTGGGGGGGTCTCGAGGGGCTTAGGGGGCTTGCGGGGAAGGGGGGTCTTGAGAGAAGAGGGTGAGGGGTCTGAAGGGGGCCAGGGGGGGTCCTGAGGGGCAGGTGGTGGGCCTGTGAGGAGCGAGTGGGTGGTCCTGAGGGAGCTAAGTGGGCCTGTGAGAGGAGGGAGAAGGGCCAGGGGGACCCTGAGTGACAGGTGGGGGGCTGTGAGGGGGCCTGTGAGGATCCTGAGGCGACTGGGGGGTTGAGGAGCCTGTGGGGGTTTTGAGGGTCAGAGAGAGCTGTGTGGGGCTGGGGAGTCGATGAGAAGAGGGGAGGGGGTGCTCAGGGACCTCCCTAGGGGCTGGGAGCTTGTCCTGGGGGGCTTGTGGGGGTCTTGAGTGGCAGATGGGTGGGCTGTGAGGGGAGTCGGGGCTCCTGTGGGTCTGGGGGGACCGTTGGGATCAGGAACCTGTGTAGGGGCTGAGAGCATGTCCTGAGGGGCTGTGAGGTGGGAAGAGGAGCTGTGAGGCGACAGTGTGGGGCTGGGGGTATGAGGGAAGGATGAGGGTCCTGGGGGTAGTGTGGGGTTTGTGGAGCAGAAGGGTGGGGGCACCCTGAGGTCCCGGGGTGGACTGTGGGGTGGGTAGGGGGGTCCTCTGGGGTGAGAGGCTGTAAGGGGTCCTGAGGGACCTGTGGGGCAGGTGGGGTCTGTGAGGGGAGGCTGTGTTGTCTGTCAGGGGGAGCTGAGAGGCTTGTGTAGGGCTGGAGTCATGTGAGTGGTCCCATGGGATGGGGGAAGTTTTGGGGGGCCTGAGGGGAGGAGCAGGACAGGCCCTGAGGGATCTGTGAGAGGCTGTTGAGGGAAGGGGAGAATGTGAGCCTGGGAAGACAAGAGCAGGTTTGGGCATCCAGAGAGCTTGGTTTGTGGGCCCAGGTGGGTTGGTTTGGGGTCCAGGATAGGCTTGGTTTGGGGGTGCAGGGGTTTGGTTTGGGCATCCAGGGAAGCTTAGTTTGGAATCCAGGGGGCTGCCAGGGCACAGATCAGGAGTAACAGGGTCCCTGAATCTCAGTGCCCACCATAGCAGAGCCCAGGGTAACCCGTCCCTGTTCTAAATCTGTCCCTGCCCTAAACCCTCGTTCCCTGGCAGGGAGGCCGACATGCCAATCGACGTGGAGACAGTGACGCCTACCCCGGTGCCCCTGTACGACAACCAGAAGGCCCGGAGTGTGATGAACGAGTGCGAGAGGCACGTCATGTTCGCACGCACTGATGCTGATGCACCTCCACCCCCTGATGACTGGGAAGAGCACGTCAACAGGTACCCAGGGACAGCAGGGACAGGGAATTCTGGCACCCCCTGGAGTGCTGGGAGGGTTTTGGTGAGACTGGACACACAGGGATGTTACTGAACTGAGCTATGTTCAAGGAAAATGGATTTTTGTGTCCAAACTCATCTGGCTGCTGTGAAATCTGAGTGTGATGGTGGGGGGTGGCCCAGCTGGTGAACCTCTCCCACATGGCATCACAGAATCATTAAGGTTGGAAAAGACCTCTGAGGTCATTGAGTCCAACCTGTGCCTGATCCCCACCTTGTCACCCACCCCAGAGCACTGAGTGCCACGTCCAGTTGTTCCTTGGACACCTCTGGGGATGGGGACTCCACCACCTCCCTGGGCAGCTGCTTCCAATGCCTGACCACCCTTTCTGTTAAGAAATTCCTCCAGCTGTCCATCCCATGAATCCATCTCATGTATTCAGGGGAGGTTGGAACAGTGAGTCATGGAGTGATGGTACAGATCCATAGACTCATTTGGGTTGGAAAAGCCAAATTTTTAAGGTCATTGAGTCCACCCATTCCACAGCACTGCCAAGGCCACTACAAACCCGTGTCCCCAAGTGCCACATCCACAGGGATGTTAAATCCTCCCAGGGGTGTGGACTCCACCCCTGTGCCAGGGCTGAATGGCCTGTTCCGTGAAGGAATTTCCCCAGTATCCAACCTGACCCTCCCCTGGCGCAGCTTGAGGCCGTTTCCTCTCATCCTGTCCCTTGTTCCCTGGTAGCAGAGCCCAACCCTTCCTGGCTTCACCCTCCTGTCAGGGAATTGCAGAGAACAAGAAGGTCCCCCCTGAGCCTCCTTTTCTCCAGGCTGAGCCCCCCCAGCTCCTTCAGCCCCTTCCCCACTCCATTCCCTTCTCTGAACACACTCCAGCCCCTCAATGTCTGCATTGAGGTGAGGGCCCAGAACTGTCCCCAGGAATGGAGGAGCCTCAGCAATGCCCAGCACAGACAGGGATATGGGGAGTCATTGGATTACACGTAGATCCTCAGTTCAACCATGTTCCAATGTCAAAGAAAATGAGGATGTGCATAAATTCCACCCTGTGGAACCCTCCAGCCCACAGTGTTAGCATTATGAGGAATTTGGTTGTTTTATGGACAGCAGCTCTCAGGCCCCAGGCGTGTGTGTGACAGCTCCTGTGTGTCTCTCCCCACAGGACAGGGTGGACCATGGCCCAGAACAAGCTGTTTAACAAGATCCACAAAGCGCTGCAGTCGGACAGGTTGGCTCGCCTGGCCAATGAGGGGGTAAGAGTTGGTTTTATCTGTCCTTCTCAGCAAAGCCAGGATGGAAGTCTTGGCCTTTGGATCATGTAGCCTCAAGGAACAGGCAGCTCTGGGCTTCTTTGAGCCATGATTTTTGTGGAATCATAGAATATCCTGAATTGAGAGGGACCCACAAGGATCATTGATCCAACTCCTGGCCCTGCACAGACACCTCAGCAATCCCACCCTGGCCCTGAGAGCGTCGTCCAAACACTCCTTGAGCTCTAGCAGCCTTGGGGCTGTGACCACTGCCCTGGGGAGCCTCTTCAGTGCCCAGCCACCCTCTGGGGGAAGAACCTTGTCCTAATATCCAACCTAAACCTCCCCTGACACAGCTCCAGCACATTCCCTCATGTCCTGTCACTGGTCACAGAGAGCAGAGATCAGAGCTGCCCCTCAGGAGGAAGTTTTGACTTTCTGGGAGGGCTCCCCTCAGCCTCCACTTGCCTTCCAAGGACAGGTTTAGTCCTCACGGCCAGATGTTGGGCTTTGCTTCCAGGGGTCTTAGGGCTGCCCAAGCCAACACTTCCCTATGGATCAGGATGCATGTGACATGCTTGATTTTCCCCATAACTGTTCCTTTTGGATTTCCTGGTCTCCAGGCTTGCAATGAGCCTGTCCTGAGGAGGATAGCGGTGGATAAATGTGCCCGGAGGGTGCGCCAGGCCCTGGCCAGTGTGAACTGGGACACCAAACTTATCCAGTGGCTCCACACGACACTGGTGGAGACCCTCAGCCTGCCCGTGCTGGCCGCATACCTGGATGCTCTGCAGACCCTGAAAGGAAAGGTGATAAAAGCAGTGGGAAACTTGGCTGTCGTGGATGACCTTCTCCCTTTATCCAGCTCGCAGATGGAATTGTTATCCCTTGTTTTATGTGTGTTTTCTCAGTCCCTCCTGGCCTCTGGTTTCAGATCCCCACGCTGATCGACAGGATGCTGCTCTCTTCCACGGCCAAGACAGGAGCAGCTGGGGCTGAGGCTCTGTCCCTGCTGCTCAAGAGGCCTTGGGACCCAGCAGTGGGTGTCCTGTCCCATAATAAACCAGTAAGTGCCTCTGGGGGCTTGTGGGGTGCGAGAGGTCCCACATCAACTTTATTCTTCCTCTTCCTTCTACCTCTGTCTGCTCTGCTCTTTCCCCCGCATTAGACTTGCTCAGTAATGGGGAGTCCTTCTGTTGGGCATGTTCCCCCTGGGCTATCCCAAGGGAGCTTTGGCTTGGGAAATTCATACTCCTTTTCTTTCCACCTCTGTCTTCTCCCTGAGCTCTTTTCCCCGTGTTTTTGACTTTCTCAATGACAGGGAGTCCTCCTGTTGGGCACATTCGCCCTGGACTGTCCCAAACTTTGGCTTGGGAAAACAATCACTTAACAAGCTGTGCAAGGTCCCTCCTGCTTCCCTATGCAAGCCAGGAAGGCAGTGAGGTCCCTCCAGAGAAGTTGCTCTCCCTGACAGGTCTCTTGTTGAACTTTGCAGAGCAAGTTGCCTGGTTCCCCTCTCATCCTCATCGCTTCCTCTGGCCCTGCCAACTCCATGTTCCCTGCTTCCCGACGGCACCGCTTCTGGCAGTCACAGCTCTCCTGCCTGGGAAAGGTGTGTGGGCTTGGCTCTGGGGGAAGGACAGAGCTGCTTCCAGAAACCTTTGGTGCACCAAAATCCTTGGAAAGCAGAGGCTGATGCTTGCCAGCCTCAGGGTTTGCCATTGGAGACTGCATAGGGATGGATTTGCCCAAATCCAATGTGTTTGAGGTTTTTTGATACTGTTATTAAGGATTAATGAGGGTTCTGGTAGGAAGGGGTTGGAGAAGGGAGACTGGAGGTCATGTTAGTCCTCTTGGCTATGGAGCTGCTCACTCATCTCCTAATGAGTGTGCTTGATACACTGGAGTGAGGGGAGATGTTTTCTGGTGGGAATCCATGGGGAGTTCTCCATTTACTGTGGTTTTAGTAGCTAGAAATGAATCCTAGGGTAAAGAAGGAGAGAAAGCACGAGTTCATGTGTAAAATGGGCTCCATTCTGTGCTAATTGTTGTCGGCACCTGTTGTCCTCAGTAAGGCCTTGGTTAATTCCTGATTTTCCCTCTCCACTGGCAGGTGATTCCCATTGCCACCTCCCTGCTGAACAATGGCAGTGGGGTAGGAGTGCTGCAGTGTCTGGAGCACATGATTGGGGCTGTGAGGGGCAAAGTGGCAGAGGTGAGGGAGAGGTAACGGGTTTATAAGGGAGTCTTTGTGCTCCCATTGACCTTATTCCCATTCCTGGAGGTGCTGTGCTACCCCAGGGCATCATCTCATTGTCTGTCCTGCTTCTGCATTCCTGTGTTTTTGTCTCCTGTAGATTCACAACCACTTCTCTCACAAGCAGATCATCCTGATCGGGTGGAACACGGGTGCCTTGGTGGCCTGTCACGTGAGTACCTGATTCCTTTACATCGTCAAGGAAGCACAAGAAGGATATGGATCTGTTAGAGCAGGTCCAGAGGAGGCTGCAGAGATGCTCCAAGGGATGGATCCCCTCTGCTCTGGAGCCAGGCTGGGAGAGCTGGGGCTGTTCGCCTGGAGAAGACCTCTCCAGGGAGACCTGAGAACCCCTTCCAGTGCCTGAAAGGGCTCCAAGAGAGGTGGAGAGGGACTTGGGACAAGGGATGGAGGGACAGGACAAGGCAGAATGGCTTCCCACTGCCAGAGGGCTGGATTAGATGGGATATTGGGAAGGAATTCCTCTCTGTGAGGGTGACGAGGAGCTGGGATGGAATTCCCAGAGAAGCTGTGGCTACCCCATCCCTGGAAGTGTTCAAGGCCAGGTTCGACCGGGCTTGGAGCAACCTGGGATAGTGGAAAGTGTCCCTGCCCATGGGACTGGATGGCCTTTAAGGCTCCTCCAACCCAAATCCTTCCAGGGTTCTGTGATTCTCCCAGAGCCCACTTGGCAGCCTCAGTTCAGAGATGGATTTGAGAGACTGTTACACTTGATGGGTTCTCCTTGTCCCTTTCCTCTTTCCGTGGCCTGCTTTTGACCAGTCTGTGGTTGTGGGCCATTAGCAACTTGAGTCATTTAACATTTTCTAATCACTCTTTTAATCTCCAAAGCCAAGTGTAGCTATGGAAAGTGTTTCTGTGCCTGGCACAGCAGCTTTTGCTCCTGGGATGCTCTGTGCTGTGAGAATGCTGAGTGCTGCTCTCTCTGCCCAGGTTTCAGTGATGGAATATGTCACTGCCGTTGTGTGCCTTGGATTCCCACTGCTCACCGTGGATGGCCCCAGAGGGGTAAGGACCAGGTGGAGCTGTTGAAAGAACTCTGCTTTTCTTTAAACCTCCCTACATTGTTTCATGGAATCAGGCTTGGAAGTCCAGTGAAATTGGCATATTTTTTGCAGAATATCTGTGTGATTTGTCTTTGAAGGAGGTGTTGCATTTAGAGTAGGGACTGTTGCATTCCTGGTGGGATTCTTGATGCAATAGCAGGTGTGAGAGGTGCTATCTGTGCTTGTCTCGGCTGTGACCTGTTTTTGCTGGACGTGTAGATCCCTCGTTAACCATGCCCTGGGTCCCTCATTAACTGTATCATTTGGCATCAGAGCTGGTTTATTCCTTTATGAACTGAGCAGTGTGTGACTGGCTTGGGAATAATTAGAGCTGTGCAAATGCAGTGGCTAATTCTGGGGGTGTTGGAAATCCATCTGGGAGGTGTTTGCTGGAGCAGTTTTCATCTGGACTCAGTACAACTGTCAATCCCATCGGGATTAACCCCAAGTGCCTCTTCAGGTGTTCAGCTCCAAAGATTCTTCATCCTGGCTCAGCCCTTCCAGATTGCAATTCCCTGTGCTCTTGCAGGATGTTGATGACCCCCTCCTGGAGATGAAGACCCCCGTCCTCTTCGTCATTGGGCAGAATTCCCTGCAGTGCAACATCGAAGCCATGGAGGATTTCCGGGAGAAAATCCGGGCAGACAACAGCATGGTGGTGGTGGGGGGAGCAGATGACAACCTCAGGTAACACCCTGTCAGGTGGATACTCTCTTTTCCCAGGAATTCTGGGCAACATCTAGGCGTGCTGTGTAAATAAACCCCAGATTCGGTGGGAATGGCATGAAAATGCTCCATACTTGGGTGAGTTTGGAATAATTGCACCAAAAAGCTGAACCAGTTGTGTATGGGAATGGGGTTGCCTGATCTAGAGCTGGGCCCAGAGCACAGATCAGGTTTTAGAGCATCGTACGAATCAGAAATCTCTAGTGGGAAAAATCAGTAAAGGAGAGGAAAGAAAGAAACATAAAATTCTGACGCTGGGTCTGGAGAAAGAGCTCTCAAGTGTCAGATTTGCTTTGGAAAATGCTTTGGGATGCTGGATATTTTTCCTCAAAGTTTGTCTTGGCACTTCTGAGGGATCAATCTCATCCTTCCAGCTCTTGGGTTGTGACATGAAGGCTCTTACTCAGGCCTTACTCAATGTGTAACTGGGTAAGGGGCCCACCTTGTGTCACTTGAATCTTTCTCTCAGGTGAGGATGTTGTGAGCATGGAAGTGGAAAACCAAACGTTGATTTCCATCTGTTTTTATTTCCCAGGATAAGCAAAGCCAAAAAGAAGTCAGAAGGCCTGACCCAGAGCATGGTGGACAGGTGCATCCAGGTAACCATGGGGATCTTCCCTTCACACCTCCAAAAAAAGGGGTAATCCCTGCTGAAATGTCTCAATGCCCAAAGGTTCCAGCCAGGATTGGTTGGATTGAAGGGAATCTGTCTCCTGAGGGGAATTTGGAAGTGGCTGTTTCAGTAGAGATGTGTGATTCCTGGTGGTGCACCTTAAACAAGGAGCAGTTTCCTAAGTCTCTCAAGGGACACAGGTGGTATTTTTGGGGAGTTTGAAGAAACCATCATATTTCTCTCCCAGGTGTCCAAAATCAGCAGGGTGTGAGTTTTAATGAGAAAGCCAAAGTCTGTGAGGTTTTAGATGTTCTCCCTGTGGAATATTAGACCTCCAGAGCCTTATCCATTTGTCCCTTTGGGAATCTCATTCTTTGATTTGTCTGTGAGTTCATAGGGAATCTTCTTGCGGGATATTAAACCTCTAGAACCTTATCCATTTGTTCCTTCAGGAGTCTCATTCTTGGGTCTGTCTGTGAGGTTTTAGGGATTCTTCCTGCGGAATATCAAACCTACAGAGCCTTATCCATTTATCTTTTTGGGAATCTTATTGCTCCTTTGCTTCAAGCTGTGAAGATCCATTGTTAGAGACCTACCCACCTCTTAATCCAGCTATTTATTCCCTCCTCCCTAGGATGAGATAGCTGACTTCCTGACTGGAGTGCTGACCCGAGCCGAGAGCCACTCGGGCTCCGACCCCCGGGACCTGGATGCTGAGAAGAAGAAAAAGCCCCGTGACTCCACCAGGAGGGATCTATCCTTTGACTTGCCAGAAAGGAACAGCAGACCTACCTCCCCCGCAGCCAAAGTGCCAGCCTCGCCCTCAGGATCAGAGGTGGGAGCTTTTCCCAGGGTAATTCCAGCTGGGAAAGGCTGAGGTTGTGTAAAGAGGTACCTCTGTGCCACTGAAATATGTGGTGAGAGCTGTGATTAGTGTTGAAGATGGAGGTAAGAGGATATGGAGGAGTGATGGCCTCAAGTTGTGCCAGGGGAGGGTTAGATTGGATATTAGGAAAAAGTTTTCATGGAAAGGGTTGTAAAGCATTGGAAGAGGCTGCCTAGGGCAGTGGTGGAGTGACCATCCCTGGAAGTGTTCAAAAAACACATGGTTGTGGCACTTGAGGATATGTTTAGTGGTGACTGTGGTGGTGGGTTATGGTTGGACTTGATGATCCTAAAGGTTTTTTCCAGCCTTAACAATTCCATTGTTCCAATAGCTTGTGGTGAGACAAATGAACCTTCAGAGATAGGTGTGCTCCAGCTGAAGGATTCCTGACACTCAGGGTTAAGACTGACTTGAGGAAACGTTGGGATAAGAGGTGTCCCTCTCTTCCAGCAGGACTTATCCAGCGTCTCCAGCAGCCCCACTTCCAGCCCCAAGACCAAAGTGGCCACCGTGTCCCTCCAGAAGCCCCCCCCGGTGGGCACCACACAGCTCCTCAAGAGGCAGGTGCCGAGGGCAGACACAGTCCTGACACACAAGCAGGCACAAGGTAATTCCCTGCAGCTTTCCCACCCTTTTAGCATCCAGATTTTTGATCTTTTTCTGTCCTAGTGTGTGGAGGTTTTTGTCTTCAGAGTCCTGTCTTGAATTCCAAGCTCCCCGTGGCAACTTTTTCTCCAGCTTAGTCCCTGTCACTGCCATCTGAAAGGATTGGAGGGTTGGAATTATGTTGGGAATTATGTTTGTGGAGCTTGTGGAGTCTTCCTGCTGTTGGGGAGTGGGAAGGACTTTCACTTTGGCTCATCAAATCCCTCTGTAGCCTTGCTCTAATCCTTTTGGAAGTGGGAGCCCCTTGTCCAGTGTCATGAATCCTTGAAGGCTCCCTGGGAAGAGACTGAAGGTGCTCAGGAGAGAATAAAGATGCTCAGGTGATGTTTGAGGCTGTTGAATTGAGACTGAAACTGTGGGATTTAGGGGATTATAGAGTGATCTTGCAGTAAATGACTGTGGAAAACCCGCTCTGAATAAGAACCCACCCTGTGGAGTTTTGTGTCCTGTTAGTGTTGATTTAAAACCTTTCTGTGCAGCTTCATTGTGGTGGTGAATGCTCGGAGCGTAGGAAGTGGTTTTGTGGATGAGGATCCTCCTGGCAAATCCCTGGGCAATAGTTCTCCATCCTTCCTTCTCTCCTTATTTCTTTGCCCAGGGCAGACCTGAACAGGCTCATTGTTGTCTCCTGTGACCTTCCACATCCTCTGAAACCTTTTCCTAATTCAGGGATAGACTCCAGGAGGAAGCTGAAGCTTGCATTTTCCTTAATTTCTCAGACAATGGACTGAAGGATTGTATTCCTTTGTTGTTGTAGCTGAGGGAAACAGTTTCCAGGTAGCACATGGGAGGCAGGAGGAGGGTCTGTGGGTCTTTTTGGGTCTTTGGCTGTGTCACGGCTCTCTGGTTTAGTCAGCAATGCTGCTGCTCCTGGCTGGAGCTGCTGAGGGATGTGCTGGCTCACGTCTCCCAGCTGCTCTCAGCTCCTTGGTGCAACTGAGCCAATCTTAGCTGTGCTCTTCCAGCCAGGCCTGCTCTTGTTTCCAGGGCCTTTTCACAGTGGCTGTGGGGCTGGAGAGGTCTCCAAGTGAGAGGTGGGATGAGAAAGAGGTGGCTGTGTCTCCGTTGTGCCTGTGGCTGGATGAGTTATGTCCAGAGCTCTGTCTCTGCTCAGAGGTCTGTCTGTGGTGTCCCTGGAGCTCCCTGTCCCCTCCAGAGATCCTGTGATCCTGTAATTCTCTCTGATTCATTTCAGCTCAGTTTGCTGCTTTTCTGAAACAAAACATGCTGGTGAGGAAAGCTCTTCCTCCTGGCACCTCTTCATGTCTCTTTGGTGAGTATCCTCTCACTTCCAGCTGTCTCTCTTCCTATCTCCCTCCTCTCTGTCTCTGCTCCCTTCTTCCATCATCTTCCTCTCCCCTTGCATTGATTTGGGGATGTGGCCCAACGTGTCCCCTTGTCCCCCTGCTTTTTGCTTCCTCTTTGCTGTATTTGGAGCTGGAGCCAAGGGCCCACTTTACCTGGGAGCTGTGACTTTTCCCGAGCTCTTCCTTGTTCCCAGTGGATAAAGGCAGTGTCTGGCAGCTGGTTTGCTCTGATGGACTAAAGCTTTGTGCACGAGTTTAACCCTTTTTCTTTGCTGGGGGTGAGAAGGGGACATGGACATCAACCTGAAGAGACCATGTGTGGTTGTGGTGGAGCATCCCAGACACGTGGGAGAGAAACAAGGGACAGCCAAGTGACTCAGAAGGGACACGTGGAGCAGCTTTGCTTGGTCTGAGGGAATTAGAGCAGAGAGGTCAGGGAGGGGGATGGCTTTGGGAAGCTGTGATGGATCAGGGAGAGGGGTGGCTTTGGGAAGCTGTGATGGATCAGGGAGAGGGGTGGCTTTGGGAAGCTGTGATGGATCAGGGAGAGGGGTGGCTTTGGGAAGCTGTGATAGATCGGGGAGAGGGATACTGTCTGGACCAGGAGACATGTGGAAGTGAGCGCTCTGTAGTCCTAGAGTCTCTCAAGTTGAGCACAGAGGTAACTGAGTGTGTCATGCTCTGAGGGTTTGGAATCAAGGGGCGAAATCCATAGTATCTGAAGATGTGTTTTACCATCACGAATGCCAGTGAACGTGTGGATCTGGGGTTAGGAGGGCAGGCAAAGTGGAAATCCAAGGATTTGGGAGGCTGTGGTGGTGTCATATGAGTATGTCAGTACTCCATTAGGGTGCTGAGAGCTGATCTGGGTGAGAAGTTCCTCTGCCACCCCAAATGCTGTTGCCTTTAACTCTCCAACCATGGTAATCAACCCCTGAGGCAGGTATTGCCCCAGGCTGGTGGTTTGAAAGGTTTCTTTCCCTCTTGAGCCTGGTTTAGGGGTTTCTTTCTCCCTGGAGCCTCGCTTAGAGCTCTCCCCTGTGCCATGAGGGGAGAGAGCACACTTGGAGCCCTGCAGGGGAATCCCCAGCTGGTGGGAGCTGTGGAGAGCCTGGCACAAGCCTGGGGGGGGTCTGTTCATAACTTCAAAAGCCAGTTAAAATCTCTGGGCTTGTTAATGCCTGAGATGTGAGGCAGGAAGGGGAGTGGAGCTTCATGGATCCACAAGGAAGAACAGGGTCCTCCCTGGAGTGGTGGGAACACAGAGGGACGTTGGGTCACTGCTTGTTGATGCTTTGAGGGACACCTGACACCTGTGCACGTGCCTTTCACTGTCCTGCTTGGCTGGTGGCCCTTGGGTGGGGCTGTGGGGCCTGCAGGCTGTGCACGGCTCCGAGGACTTCCTGGATGCATCTGGGCCTGGATGGTGCATGTTTGGAGGAGGGCAAAGGCATGAAAGTGTTGCATGAGTGAACAGGCCTCAGGTCCAGCCTTGGAGAGCAGGACAGCAAGCTTGGCACTTGTCTTGGGGACCAGAGCAGCCCCAAAATGCTTGGAGTTGCCTGAAATTTCGGGATTTGACTGCAATCCTGTCCTACATCCACAGTTCTGAGGTGTGTAGGTGGTACACAGTGTGTAAATATATACGTACACACATATCTATATATATTTTATACAATATATCTGCACCTGGATATTTATAAATAAAAAGGGATGTACATCTTGGCCTCTGGGCTGTGGAATACATGGCTTGGATGCCCAGGACCATCTGGATACAGGGAATTCCCAGCATTTCAGGCTGGACTGGATGATCGTGGGGGATGCTGGATGGGCAGGATGTGGCAGCTCATGGCTATGTCTTGTTCCTGAGCTGTTGTGGGTCCCCTGTGCTTTTTCACAGGCTTTGGCCCTGGGAAGTTTATGCTTTAGGGAGGATGGAATGGATGTGACACATCAAGGATGTGGCAGCAAAATGACACATTGGTGTGGAAGAGAACTCTCAACATGTGGGTTTTCTCCCCAAGTGCCAGTGTGGGACTTTGAGGGGCTTGGCTTTGCTGCAGCACCTTTTCTGCTTTGCTTGGTGCCTCCCAAAAACCTGCCCAGCTCCAGGAAGAATAATAGGTGTGCAAATCCCTTGGCTGTGTTGGAGGAGCAAGCAGGCTGAGCTCTGATCCTGCACCATCTCTGCAAGTCTCCACCTTGATCCCCTCACCTGGAAATTAGGGATGTTGGAGGGGCCTTTTGCCAGGATTTGTATGTGCCACACTTCGAAATGAAAAGTGTTGATGTGGAGGTGTGGTATCACTGTCCACATCCATTTCCCTTCTCTGCAGAGGCAAGACAGATGTTACATCCCATCCTGCCTTAGCCTGTGAGTAGCTTAAGCCAAATCCTGGCCTTAACTCGGCGCAGGACAGGCAGGAGCCAGCTGAGGTGGAAAGGAAAGCGTGTTCCTGGTGCATGGGAGTGGGCAAGGCTGACATGGAGGGAACTGAGGAGGTGTGTGCATGGGCATGTGTCCCTCCTGTGCCCAGAGGAGCAGCGCTGACCTAGAGGTGCTCAAACAGCTCCTTCTGTGTCCCCCAGTTCCGGTGCCAGAGCCCTCGGAAGGGGCTGAGAAAGATGATGTGCGTTTGCAGCTGAAGAGGCACCAGCCCCCCAGCCCGACCCAGTGCTCCAAATCCTCCAAACGAGCCAAAATCAAGGTGACCATTGTCTCCCACGGGGATGCTGCTGCCATGGGCACCGGAGCAGCCCTCACCACCCAGGCAGAAAGTGAGTTGTGGCTGCACAGCTGCTTCTTAACCCAAAAACGGGGCCCTGGCTGTGCCCAGATCTGCCCTCAGGGGCACCTGCAGGGAGGGGAGGGAGCTGTGATTTATTGACCTATTGCTGCCATTTTTGGAGGAGTTTGCTGCAGAAAAGGTGGTGGCTCAAGGTGTGAGTGGCTTGGGGGCAGCTGGGGGAGTGTGACATGTTGGGGCTTGACAGGATCCTGTTTTCCATAGCAGTTGGAATTGCACATTCCAGCAGAATGCTTGGCTGCAGCCTGGAGCTGGGAGGTGAATTTTACACCTTCCTGTGGTCTTACACCTTCCTCTGGTTTTACACTTTCCTCTGGTCTTACTCCCTCCTTCCTCTGAGTGTGGAGCTGCTGCTGGAAGCAGGATGCTGGTCCTGCTGGACCCCTTGCTCCACGTAGGTTGGGTGCATCTCTGGTTCTGCTCCTCCCACCTGGAATATGCTCCTGCTTTAGGGATGGCAACCGTGTTCCTCCCTTTGGAAGACCTTTGTGTGTTCAGACACTTCAGCCCCGTGGGGCCTGGAGTCTGGCACAGCACACAGTTGGCGCACGTATAAAAATCCCAGCTTTCCTACCTCTGCATCTGGGAAGACCCACCACAATACATCCTGTATCCAAGGAGAGGTGATGTGCTCCATCTTCTTCCCCTTGAGCCTTTGGAAGAGAGACCAAAAGCTTTGGCTGCTGTTCCCTGTGACCCTGAAGGATGTTTTCTTGTCTGGAGTGTGTGTTTTCCTCCTGCCAGAGCTCCAGATCCATAAGGTTACGGACTGAAAGTGTCTCCGTTCTGCTCAGAAATCAGAGCTTTTCCAAGCTGAGAAATAATTCTGCTCCTTTCCTGCTAATTTAACAGTTGTTTTAAACTGTGAAAGTACCTAAATCCACATCGTTTTGGAAGGTTACAGTTGATCTTCGGGCAGCTTTGAAAATCTCTGCTTTCTGGAGTCTTTTTTTATTTTATTTTATTTAATTTTCCAAACTTTACTTCTTTTCACAGAAAGGAAATGAATTACAGAAGTAAAACATGAACCAAAACAAGAATTCCCTCTTACCCGGTGTGAGCAGGAGGAAAGCACAAGACAAACACAGTTGTATCCCAAAAAACACCGCAATAAACAAATCTCGTGACTCGTCGCATCCCTGTGTATTTTGTAAAGTGTCTTTAATTAAAGAATCCTTACAAAATCCATCAGCCAGATCCCAAAAATCCATTGAGGTGGTTCAACTGTGCCATGATGAACTTAGGAGGGGATTAGTGGAGACAATGTTTAGGAGAGAGATTTGGATTTGGTGTCGAGGGGCTGAGATTCCCGAGACTTTGGAAGCTGATCCTTCAATCTTGGCTGTCGTTCCACAGCAGTTTTGATTGGACTTTGTTCTTTGGGATGTGTGTTTTTCCTGGAGAAGATGTTCTGGGGGCAGGATGAACCCATGGCCGTGCCTGTGGGTACTTGTGTGAGAGGGGGATCCCTAAAAATTCCCTAAAGCCCCGTGGAGGAGGGAAAATGAGGATTGTCCTTTTTCTCTTGCAGTTGTCTCCGGAAAGCCGGTGCCCATGGCCGTGTCTGGAGCAAAGGAGCTCTCGGGGCTGCTCTCCACCCCCAGGTGAGTGGGAATTTGGGATTCATGAGCTGTGGGTCTCTTCGACAGGAAACACCACAACAGGGGCAGTCCTGCATATGGAGCTTTCTGGTTTCTTGCTTCTCACTGGAATGTTCTGCCATGTGGCAGGAGGCTTTTGGGCTCCTGAAAACTCGTTGTCACCTGGGAGTCGAGCCTGTGAATGGCAGAAATGGGCAGAAGTAGAAGGTATTGTGGCTGTTGGGTTATGTTTTATGTAGTTCCCCAAATTCAGGTTATCTGTCTTTTGAATGACTGGGGTGGCTTTGGCAGAAATTCAGTGTTTAATCCTTCCCTTAATTCCCTTTGACAGTCAAACTTTTATTTTCCCAAAGACAGGGAAAAGCCTCAAAGTGACTCATGAAGGTCATTAACTGCCCATAGAGATTTCTGTTGGGGGATGAATCTCATGCTGATGCCTGTTTTCCCTTCTAATTCAAACCCAAGCTTTGTGCAACCAGACTCTGACTGATCTTTTTGCCCAGAGAGACTGTGGATTCCCCATCCCTGGAAGTGTCCAAGGCCAGGTTGGACAGGGCTTGGAGCAACCTGGTCTGGTGGAAGATGTCCCTGGGTGGAACTGGATTTGAGGTCCCTCAAATGGGACCCAAAATGTTTTGAGATTCTGTGATCTGAGAGAGGAGAAGAGTTGTTTTAAATAGAAAATAGGTTTTAAACAGGAAGAGTGTCGCTTTGGGGTCAACGACTTTTGTGTAGGGTGACCCAGAGAGGTGCACGCTTGTAACAAGCCCTTCCAGTTTGGAAATCCATGGATTTTGCCACAGGTGCTCCTGCAGTGGAACAGGGAAACTTCCCTTGGACTTGATTATCTTAAAGGCCTTTTACAACCTTAACAATTCCATGATTCTCTTGCTTTGGGTTCTTGTAGCTCAACTCCCTTCCTTCAGGAGTCCTGCTGGTTGTTTGGGTTGGTGCCATCTGTGTCCCTGTGTGGTTTGTCACTGATGGGAGCCTCTTTCTTCTCTTTTAGGCTGAGTTCAGCAGCAGAGGCATCACTAAGCCCCGCTCCAACTGGAATTCCCAGTAGCACAGCTCCCAGTGCATTCCATGCCCTGCAGAGCAGGCTGGTGGCCAGCAGCACCCACGGCCTGCAGGCCCAGCCAACCAGTGCCCTCCAAGGTATCCACCTCCCTATGTCTGTCCCGGGAAGGTAAAAGGTAAACCAGGTTCAAAATCACTCAGTGGAGGCTCTTCCTTGCATTCCCTGGTTGCTTTGGGTCTGGTTGAGGCAGGATTTGTAGGGATTTGCTGTGGAAGATGCAGTGGGATGCAGCAGCTGATCTGATAATTGTGTCACTTGTATGTAATGATGCCTTGAAACACCAAACCCGACCTCTTCTTGCATCTTGGGTTTCACAAGTGACCCCATTTATAGCTGCAGCAGTGGAATGAAGCTGTGCTAGGGGGATTTAGGTGGGATATGGGGAAAAGGTTCTTTCCCCAGAGGGTGGTTAGGCACTGAACAGGCTCCCCAGAGTTTGGTCATGGCCCCAAGGCTGGCAGAGCTCAAGGAGCGTTGGGACAACGCTCTCAGGGACACGGTGGGATTGTTGGGGTGTCTGTGCAGGGCCAGGAGTTGGATCCATGATCCTTGTGGATCATCCAACTCAGGATATTCCATGATTCTATGAAACATGTGGCACTATGTGTGTAGAGCAGCTTGGAGGATTCCCGCCAACCTCGGGTTGCTGCTCGTTAAAGAGCAGGTTTCCAGCCATGGGACACACCTGGAATTTCATGCTGCTGAATTCTGCAAGCCTGATTTGATTCTTTTCCTGGATTTTTTTCTTTTTTAGGAGCAGCATCTGCCAGCAGCCTGCTCCAAGGGCTGAGCTTCAGCCTGCAGGACATTGGGACCAAGGCATCCACCCTCCCTGCCAGCATGGCTGCTGGGCCACCTGTGCAGGTATCCACTGGAGATCCCACAGGGAAGCTGTGTGCAGGCTGGAGTTAGAGGGAACTTGGACAAGGCCCTGTTTGCTCCAGGACCAGGAGAGATGAGGAGGGGAGGCTCAGTGACAGGTCTAGGGAAGGGGTCTGTGGGAAGGTGTTTCTAGGCAGCCTTCTAGAAAATGCTGGGTTGGAGAATGGATTTAGAGGAATCAGGGATCATTCTCCTGGATATTCTGGGAAAACACACACCTGTGACCTCTCACTGCACTGCTCATCCCTTCAGTGTGAGGTGATTTCATGCGTGGCTTCATTTGGAGTGGGCTCAGTTTCTTCCAGTCATAGTATCAAGCCGAAATGAGATGTGCAAACTGGAAGGGACAAGTTTACTGGCATTTAAACCTGCGTGTGACCAAGAAAAAAGTGGGAAAACCATGACCTCTAACACCTCTGGCTTCTGTGGGAGGGAGAGGCTGTGCCACCGCCTCATCCCCTTTCTTTCCAGGTGCTCAGTGCTGCTGCTTGTCCTTGCAGAGCTCAGCTGTGAAGGCTCCCACAGCCCTACAGAGCCTCAGTGCCATCACCACAGACACGGGCACCATCGTCCGCACCATCCCTGTGCCCACCTCCCTGGCCCTGGGGGCCTCAGCCAGTGGGAAGCCCTCGGCCATCCACCAGCTGCTGACCAATGGGGGGCTGGCCAAGCTGGCCAGCAGCCTGCCAGGGCTGGCCCAGATCTCCAACCAGGCAGCAGGTGAGGGACATGGGGGCAGGGAGGCATCTGGAACACCCCCGAGAGTGAGGAAGAAGGAAGGACTGGGCTGGAACACCCCAACGCCCTGAGAGTGAGGGATAAGGAGGCAGGGAGGTGCCTGGAGCACCCTGAGGGTGAGGGAGAAGGGAGGCTGGAAGGTGATCCAGGTGCCTGGAGCACCCCGAGACCAGCGTTCCCAAACCTTTTTCCTTATGGACAACCACATGTGCTGGCAGTTTCCAAGGAGCCGCCTCTGATGAAAAGACTTCTGGTGCCCCCCAAGCTGCTGATTGTGGCTTCCACAATCCCTCTGTCTCAGGGACATCTCCCATGTGTGTTTTCCAGGCCTGAAGGCACCCACGACCATCACTGTGACCCTGCGAGGGCAGCCCGGCCGTGTGAGCACCCTGAACCAGGCGGCCATGGGGATGATCCAGCCCCAGCTGGAGGAGCAGCCCATGCAGACACAGGGCCCTCAGGTAATCTGGGACACCCTTCCCCACAGAATATGTCCATCACTGCTCACTTGAGCTGTTTCTGACTGTCGCAGTCCAAGGGCAGGTGTGGCTGTGGGGGGGAAAGTGTTCTTGGTCACATCTCTTGGGTGTGATGAGTTGGTGATTTGCTGAGGTGGTTGAGAAGATCCAAGTCATCATCGTGTCTGTGTCAGGGTTGATTGTGCTTGATATCACAGAATCATGGACTGGTTTGGGTTGCAAGGGACCTTAAAGCTCATCCCATTCCACCCCCTGCCACGGGCAGGGACATCTTCCACTAGACCAAGTTGCTCCAAGCCCGATCCAGCCTGGTCTTGGACACTTTCAGGGATCCAGGGCAGCCACAGCTTCTCTCGGAATTCCATCCCGCCCCCTCCCCACCCTCACAGGGAAGAATTCCTTCCCAATATCCCATTTAACCCTACCCCCTGACAATTGGAAGCCATTCTGCCTTGCTCTATCCCAAGTCCCTCTCCAGCTCTTGGAGCCCCTTTAGGCACTGGAAAGAGCTCCAAGGTTTTTGCAGGGCAACCTGTGCCAGGGCCTCCCCACTCTCCCAGGGAACAATTCCCAGTATCCCATCTAAACCTTCCCACACTAATACTGCACCAAGGGAATCTCCAGCTAGACTTGGAAAACTGCCATCAGCATGTTACTGAATCCCCAGGTAAAAATTACCCTTCAGGTGAAGCCTTTGGATGGAAGTTGGGTGAGTACAAAGAGCAGCAGCCAGAAATCCTTTGTTTGTCCTGTTAGAGCTGACATTGCATCTGTCATTGCTGGGAGTTCCCATGCAAAATCATGGTTTACTGCTGGTTAAAGCTCAGATTTGGGAGCATCCACATCCTTCTGAGTTTCTTTCAGTCGCTGAGCTTAGAACCTGGCTAAGGCAGAGCTCAGAATCCCGAGCTGGTGCCCCTCAGATCCCCCCTGAGCACCAGGGGAGTAACTTGTGTAGGTCTGAAACTCCTCATCCATGTGGGAAACAGCTTTTGTGCTTTTCAGTAAACATCAGAGCTGCTGTGCTTTCCTTCATGTCCTTGTTACCTTTGAGACCCCCTAAATACCCAGGAGAAGTGATGGAACTTGACACAGATTGACTCCAGGGTTGAGTGGTTTAGGGAAGGGTTAATTTTTTATGTGGTGCCACTTGAAAGTGGATATTTGATCCTGAGCTGTGACTTTTCCCTACAATGCTGAGCTTGTGTGTTCAAGGCAGGGCTTAATTGTGTGGCTGGTGTAAGAGTTGCTTCAAAAGCAAACTGAAAGCTGCCTTTTACAGGAAATGGGGTGAGCTGTGTGTTTTTGTAACTAATTATAGCCCTTGACATCAGCTCCCTGTCCCTCTGGCGCAGAGGGTTACGTAATCCAGGGCTTCCTGGAACAGACTGGATTTACAAAAGGCTTTGGGGGATAATGCTGGGGGCTTAAACTCTTGTGTTTTCAGCAGTAGCCGGAGCTATTGTTGGTTGTTCCCTTTGAAATTCCAGCTGGGCCTTTGCAGGAAGCTGGAAGCCATTTCAACTGGTCATGGATTTCAACTGTGCCTGGAGCATCTGAGCTGCACTTTGAGGGGGTAGCTTTCCTTCCCCCTAGGCATCAAACAGGAGGGGAATCTGAGTGGTCTGGGAGTAGAGTGGTGCCAGTTTTCGTTGTTATGGTTTCCCTGCCTGGGTTGTGCCAGGGCTGGGGTTGTGCCAGTTTTGGGGTCTCACTCCGGAGAGTGGACCGGGCCAGGTCCTTCTGTTCAGTCTGGAAGAGCTGAAGGGTGCAGCATTGGGATAATCCCAGTGCTCTCCATGTCCCCATCCCAGGCTTGGCTCAGCTGCACCTCAAGCCCTTGATTTTTGCTTCACATGAAGCAACATTTGCTTCATGGCCAAGATGCTTTTGGGGGGCACAATTCCCATCAGCTCCCAGGGTGAGCACCATGTCCCCCACTGCTGATCCTCTCCCCTTCTCCACAGTGACCGCCACCAGCCCCATGAAGACCCTCTACGTCATGTCAGCCGCCAGGCTCTCAGCTCTCACCAAGCCTGGGATGAGTGAGGCTCCTGCCGTGCCCCTCACACTGCTGGGCATCCAGCCTTCCTCCTCCTCCACTGGTGCCCTCCCCTTTGCCACCCTGGTGCACCCCAAGGTGGGACCTGCCCTGCAAAGCCCCTCCAGGATGCTCCTCCTGATCCTAGGGAAGGGTGACAGGGCCCTGGGACACCTCAGGTCAGCCTAGCCAAGAGCCACGTCCTGGGGCCCCTGGAGACCCTGGGGAGGGCTCCCCCCATGGTGGACAATGGCAGCACCATCATCCACCCCAGGGAGGCTCAAGCCAACAGACACTTTGTGCGCATCCTCAGGCTCGACAGCTCCTCCAGCATCACCTACCAGCCGTAGGGACCCCAGGGACCCACAGGAAGGCTGAGGGGTGGGAAAGGAGCAGCCCCCTGGGCAGAGGGGTGATGTTTTTCTGGGTTTGTTATTGTTTAATAAAAATTTCCTTTTTTATTCTTCTGTGCTGAGTTTGTGGCCACAGCCCCTCCAGAGGCAGCTGGGGGGAACTTGTGGTGAGGGTGGATTTCTGTAGAGAAACAGAGGGACAAAATAGGAATGGGTCCAGCACTCATTTTGCTCCCTTTTTATAGGTGTGTATATAAAATATATATAGAACTATGTGATACGTAATTAAGTCACCACCATAACAAGGTTGGATACAAACAGCTCAAGATCAAGAGTAAAAATTACTCGGTCCCGATTGTCCCCTCTCAGCCCTGGAGCGGTGATGGCCCTGGCACTTCCCGGTGGGCCATCCTGGCTTCTCCCTCCTCCACAGGGAATGCTGCTGGCTGGGATGGAATTCCTACAGCTTGGTGTGGCGGTGGAAGGCTGGCACGTGCTGGGAGCCACAGGAATGGTGGCTGTGCCATGGGTAGGACCGGTGGCGCAGGGAATTCCTGTAGGAATTGGGGTAGTGCCTGGGGCCGGTGCCCAGTGGCCGGCACAGCTCCGGGGGCTGCGTGGAGCCCACCACCAAGGGGCTGGGAAAGGCCGGGATGACAAAGGGGTTGGCAGAGAGCGCAGGGGCCACAGGCACACCCTGAGTTTTGAGGTGCTCCAGAGGGCTCCCGAAGCTTGGCGGGAAGTGCAGTGCAGCAAAGCTGGGACTGGCCACCACGGCCTTGGGCTTGGCCAGCCCGCGGTGGCCCCCCAGGGGGCTGGAGCCCATGTCCCTGCCCTCGGCCTCCCTGGGGAAGGGGGACACGGCGCCGAATTTGGGGCCAAAGGGCTCCTCGTCATCCTCCTCCTCCTCCTTCTCATGGCCATGCCTGGCCCTGGCAGCGGGTCCGGGTCCGGGGGGCACCCAGGCCTGCACGGCAGCCCCCTGGCTCTCCCACACTTTGCTCCGCAGGTCCTGGGGCTGCTCTGGCTCTGGGAAGGCAGGAGGCGGCTCCAAAAAATCCTTCAGGTTGGAGAAGTACCCCCAGAGCGGATGGGGGGCACTGGGCGGGAGCCCCTCGCTGCGGTAGGCATGGAAGTAGCCGGTGAACACGGCAGGTGCCGGACCCCCATTCTCGGCCCGGGGGCACCCCTGGGTGTCTGTGCCCCCGGGGGATGCGCTGGTGGAAGGTCCCACCTCATTCCTGATGCTCGGAACTGTATCCTGAGCTGAGGGCTCCGGGCTCCTCTCAGGGGCCGGCCGGGGCGGGTTGTGGCTGGTGGTGGCAGCGCTTGGTGCCCACCGGCCCTCGAGGCAGTGGCGTTTGTGGCAGCGCCGGGACTCAGCCTCGCTCACCTGGGCCAGCAGCTTCTTCTTGGCTAGTGGGGACATGATGGGGTGGTTCCCTTTGGAGTAGAAGCTGGAGAAAAGGCACTTGTAGGTCTCGCTATGGGTCTGGCAGGGGCTGGGATGCCCCCCCGAGGGGCTGGGAGTCGGGATTGCCAAGCTGGAGCAGTGGGGTGGCATTGCTGGGATGGATCCCTGGGCCACCCGGCCCCGCTCTGGGATGTCCCGGGTGTCCTCGGTGCCAGCTGCCACCTCCGTTTTCACCTTGTCCGGAGGCGTCTGCAGGCAGAGGGAGTTATTGGGAAGTGGGTGCTGCATCCCGGGATGGGCTCCTGGATCCCCCAACTTCATTCCCCCTTTTCCATTCCCTTTTTCCAACCACCCTCCACTCCCTTTTCCCAGTGATCCACATCCCTCCTTGCTCTTCCCTGCGCACCCCAGTGGGTGAGGGATGGACATGGGGGTCCGAGGCTGTTCCCAAAACTTCCAGAGGAGCCACACACCTGCTCCCTGCCCTTCTCCTTCCTGGCCCTCTTGCTCTTGTCATCCTTGGAGCCCTTGTACTGCTTGCGAGGTTTGCTGGGGGGCAGCGGCTTGTCCTCCTCCCCCTTGAGGTGCCGCACGTAGGGAAGGACCAGCCTGTGGGTGGGGGGGGGGGGGGGGGGGGCACAGTGAGAACTGGCCCTGAGAGGGAGAGCTGAGGCCCAGGAAGGGATAGACACCCCCCCAATCCCCCTTGTGTGCCCACCTCTCATAGTGGCGCCGGGTGCAGGTGGCAGCGCTGGTGCTGCCGGGGCTCCCCCCGAGCTCGTCGTACACGTTCTTCCAGAGCCGGCGCCCTGTCACCTGCACGGGGAGGGAGAGGTGACACCGGGTGCTCAGGGGACAGCCCAGTACCCAGGGGACAGCCATGACACCCAGGGGACAGCCGAGTGTGCACAGGAGATTGTGATGTGCATAGGACATCCGGACACCCCAATGCCCAGGAGACATCCTGACACCCAGGGACATCCTGGCACCCAGGGGACACCAGCACCTCCAGACACCACTTACCAGCTCATAGGCTCCCAACTTCTCCACAGCTTTGTAGATCTTCCAGAGGTTAACTGGCAATAAAGAGGAGAGGCCAAGGGTCAGGGGGACACGGGGGGGTCTCCCTGTCCCCAGGGGATTTGGGGAGTCCATACTCTGCTTGAAGCCGAGGTGGGGGATCCTCTCAATGGGGGTGTGTCGGTCCTTCATGAACTTGTAGAGACTGACCAGAAAAGCCTCCTCCTCCTCCTTCTCCTTCTCCCCTTCCCCCACTGGCTTCTCCTGCTCAGATCCATCCTCGGGACCCAGATCCTCCTGTGGGACACGGGAGGGGGGAAATTTGGGGAAACTGAGGCCGAGCAGCAGCTCCCCCACCCCCTGCCTGGCGATTCAAGCAGCTCTGGGCTCGTTTTTGTCACCCCGGGACAGTGGCCAAGTTGGTCAAAGCTCTGGATCCAGGCAAGAACACGAGGAACAGCTTCCAGGAAAACAGAGGGGCAGGAATTCCTCCTCCCTCCCTCCCACCGCCACCGCCTTTCTCAGCTAAAAATGTGCCCCGTTTGTTTGTTCTACATTTTCCGGAGTTATAAAACTTGTTGCTATTTTTGGGCAAAGCAGCTGCTTGGCTCCCAAGTCCGGCCTTTGATTCTTTTTTAGGTTTTTTTTTGGTGGTGATTCTTCTCTCGATTCATTTAAACTCTTGTGACAGATGCTGGGTTTTAATGGCTCAACTATTTTGAGGCGCTTTTTTTTTGGGGTGGAAGAAAAAGCCGCTGAGGAGGGAGGGGGATCCAGTGCCACAAAATCTAAATGCTGTTTCCTCTTCAGGATAAAAACTAATTATAAAAAGTATTATTTATATGGGACAGTTCATTTTTCCTCTAAAAAATGCCGGTTTAGGTCTGGTTTTCCCCCGCAAGGCTGGAAATTTCACCCTTCTCTTCCTCTTCCTCTCTTTCACTGGCGGCCAAAGCGCTGCTCGCCCTTGTCCCCCCACCAAATTTGGGAGGGTTCAGCACCCCCCTTAAAATCTCGGGGTGAACTCACTGTGGGATTGCTGGTGGTGGCTTCTTGGGGGTCTTGTTGCCCTGGTTGGTTGTTCTCCATGGGGGGGAGTCGTTGGCTTTGAGCTTAGGAGGGTCCTGAGGGGGAAAAAATGGGGTGCGGGGAGTGAGAGACCCCAAACTGTTGCTTTAGGAAGAGGTCCTGAAAAGGAAAAAAAAAGGAGGGGGAAGGGGAGGTGAGACCCCCAAATTGTTGCTGCTCCCATAAAATTAAGGAGAAATCGGGATGATTCGGGTCACGGCGTCACCCGAAATCGGCCACTCGTGGCCTGAAGCTGCTCGCTGACTGCCCCCCCCAATCCAGGCCTCGGTACCCCCCCAATAGTCCCCCCCGCCCACTTTTTGGGGTAAAACCCATGGAAAAACGGCAAAAAAAGGCGCTGCCAACCTGAAGTAAATGAGGCCCGGTCGGGGGGGGATCCAACCCCCCTCTGACTCACCCCTTCCCACGGGACCCCCTCGTGTCCCCGTCCCCCCCCCTGCCGCCCCTGATCGCTCACCCGCCGCGCCTGCACCACGTGACTGGGGCGCGCCCGAGGGGCGGGGCCAACACGCCCCCTCGGCCCCCATTGGGTGGGACCAACTCGCCCCCTCCGCCTATTGGGCGGTCGGGAGGGTCGGCCCCGTCCCCGGCGAGGGGTGTGATGGAACTTGTAGTCCGGAAGCGGCAGCGTCTGCGCGGCCATGGGTGGGTGTGTACATGTGTGTTCTCGTGTGCAGGGTGAACACACGTGCCCAGGCGTGTTTACACGTGCATACAGCTGCCAACATGTCTATGAGTACAGGTGAGTGGTACGTGTCTGTCCTCATGCAGGGTGAACACACGTGGCCAGGTGTGTATATGAGGGCATAGAAGTGCCGATATGTGTGTGCGTGTGAGCACAGGTGAGTGCAGGTAGGTACGTAATGTGTGTCCCCATGTGCAGATGAGCACATACGCGCGTCAGAGTGAACACGTGCCCAGGTGTGTTTACACGAGCACACAAGTGCAAACATGCATGTGAGCACAGGTGAGTACAGGTGTGTGCAGGTGAGCACATACATGTGCAGGTGAGCTACAAGTGAGACACACGTGGGGGGACACACCTCTGCGTGGAGGTGATGTGTGGGTGCTGGTGGGCACCTCTGTGTGTGTGTGTGTGCGTGCGCGCGTGTTCAAGTACAGGTGAAGCTCACACATGTTCACACATGTCCCCCTTCTCGTGCTCCCCGCGATTCCGGCGGTTCCCGGCCGGTTCCCGGCACCGCTGACGCGATTTCCCCCCGCCGGCGGGGATGTCGGGGGTTTGGGGACGAAAAACGGCCGATTCGGGGATGAACATCTCCTGCCGGCGGGAACCATCTGTAACCTACTTGAGCGGGGGAGTTATGGGGTGGAGGTGACTCTAATTACTCAATAATTTGATTAAAATGACAGTTAACGGCGCTTCGGCGGCTCTTTCGCGGCGGCCAAACTCATCCCAAATCCCGCCGCGCTCCGAACCCCTGCGACCCCCCGGAGCGCTTTTGGGGCTCCCTCTCTTTCCCGAAATCCCCCCATTAAGCCGAACTCGTGCTATCCAGGCCCGAATTCCCTGTTGGAGCACGGGGCTGAGCCGGGAATAGCGCGGGAGCGGAGCCAAATCGTGACGGCGGGTGAGTAATGGGGTGAAGTCATCCCTTCCCATCCCGCGGGCACCGGGAGACGAACCCCTGACATCACCCGGCGCGGTGGGAGAGGCTGGAAAAGGGGCTTTGGGGCAGGTGGGGGCGAGCACAGGTTGGGGTCTCCCCGCGTAGTTGGGGGGCACCCCACTTCTATGGGGTTTGGGATTTTGGGATTCCCAGCCGAGTTCGTGGGGTCCCCGCCGGGATGGGGCGAAGCGGGCAGTGGGGCGGGGTGACACGTGGCTCGTGGCGGATGCCGGGACCCCCAACCCCCTACGGGACCCCCGGTACTCACGGAGGGGCTCAGGTCGAGCGGCTCATGGAGCGTGGGAGCCGGTATCGGGAGCGGGACGGAGCGCGGGGATGAGTCAGCCCCGCTCGGGGAAGTGGCGTGTGCGGGGCTGAGGCGGCTCCGCGCGGGCCATTGACTCTTTCCTTACCGGAACGGACGCGCTTTTTGGGGCTCTCACCCCGCGCCACCCCCTGGATGACTAGGCAGGACTTTCCAGCCCCAGGCTCCCCCCCGGAGCCACCCGGGGCTTGGGGACACGGCTGCGTCGCGGTCACTGGACGTGGCCACTTTGGTCCCCTTCCGGGGGGGGGTCCCAGCACCGCGCGGGCGGTGGGTGACACCTCCAGGGATGTCGTCCCTTGTCCCCTCGTTGGGAACCCCAGCTGGGGCTGCTGGAGGGCACCCAGGGGTGCTCAGCCCCATTGCAGCCCCCCGAGAATCCCTCCCCTCTTTCGGCTTGTGAAAGAGTCCCGAAAAATGAGAGAAAAAAAATCCCCCGGTGACTCATTTTGGGCCAAAAAAGCAGAGAAAGCAAAAGCGGGGGGAAATTGGGGGAGGGGGAAGATTTGGCTCCTGTCCCCTCCTCCGGGGCCAGGAAGGGGGTGAAGGATCCGAGGTGACATTAAACCCTCTCATTCCAGGAAGGCTCCCGCCCTCTACGTAAAAATATCAGAATTTAACAAAAATGCGTAAAATAAACAACAAAAGAAACCCTATTCGGGTTTTTATTCCCGGCTCTGGTTTATATTTGGGCAGAATGGGAGGGGGTGTGTCCAGAGATGTGGGAAGGGGGATTTGAGGGTTGTCCCTGCCTCAGTTTCCCCATGATCAGGGTCCAGCCTGCAGGGACTTTCCGTCAGCTCTGGGATGGCTTGGATTTTGGCAATACATTGGATTTCGGAATTACACTGGATTTCAGGAATACATAGAATTTCAGGGTACCAAGGGTAGCTGAGCACCCCTCGGTGGGATCTAGCCCCTTCAGAGCTCCACTCCAACAGGAGCTCCAGGGAAATCTTCTTCCCCAGGGGGATTTTAGGTTTTAATCCTGGAAGAGGTGTTGGAGGAAAAGGGGAATTGTTGGGGTTGGAAGGTGTCGGGAGTGAGAGGAGCCATCGGTGCAATAAAAGGTGTTGGGGCTCAGCCAGGGGGGAACCCTGAGCCAGCTGCCATCCCTAAAGAGGAGGAAAAGGAGGAAGAGGAAAAAGGAGAAGGAAGAAAAGAAAAAGGAAAAGGAGATGGAGGAAGAGGAGAAGGAGATGAAGGGAAAGAAAATGGAAAAGGAGAGGGAGGAGATGGAGGAAAAGGAAATGGAAAAAGAAAAGGAAGAGGAAAAAGAGGAGGATAAGAAGGAAAAAGACAACAGAGAAGGAGATGGAGGGAAAGGAAATGGAAAAGGATGTGGAAAAGGAGAAGGCGGAATAGGAAAAGTAGGAGGAAAAGGTAATTGAGAAGGAAGAGGTGGAGGAAAAGGAAATGGAAAAGAAGGGGAAAATAGCCCAAACCTGCAAGCCCAGCTTCTGAGTCTGTGCTAATTTGGCAGCTCTGGCAGGAGCTTTGGCTGCAGGGAGAGGGTTCCTTATCTCCAGGGATTTGGGGGGGCTTTGGGGCTGGAATGAATCCTCCCCCTGTGGGTTGATGGCCTTGGTGCTGGCAGGGAGCTGCAGCTCCAGCTCCAGTCTGGCACGTGGAACCTGGACCCAAACACGACCTCCAGACCGACTTCCCAGCTTGATCCTGGACCTGCCTCAGCACCAGGAACATCCCTGGTGATCTCAGCTCTTGGTTGACCCTGGTCACCATCTCCAGGCTGGTCCTGCTCCCATTGTTTGGGTACTGGAGGAGGGGTCGAGGCTGGTGATCCAACCACATGATCCCAATGACTCCTGGACCCCCTTTTTTAGGGAGCTGCCCCAACCCTTCTGCCCCCAACCCTCCTGTGTTATTTTAACTCCTTCTGGTTTGGAGACTCCTTCAAAGGCCCATCTGCACAGTGTGGAGCAATTTATTATCTTTAAACACAGTGTAAAAGGTAAATCCTTTCATGGGGTGAACAGGACTGTGGGAGGAACTGGAGATAGGAGTAACAGTCAGTCCAAAAACTAAGAATAACAGACAGGGAAGGACACACAGAGGAACCTTTTGAGACAGACAGAGGAACCTTTTGGGACACACACAGAAGAGCCTGTTGCTGTAGGCACTGGTGGTTCACAGTGAAATGGAGGAACTCCACTACCCATTCCAGGAAAAGCTGATGGATCAGAGATGGCAGGAGCCAGGAAGGCTGAGCCACAACCATCTGTGCAGGTCCTGTGGTCAAGTGGGACATCCCTGACTTAAAAGCCTTCCTGAGGTGCAGAGACCAGTGGGATTTCTCAGCTGGGAGGAGAAACATCTGCCACTGATCAGAGTCCAGAGCTGGGACACTGAGCTCCAGCCTGGGGTCATTCCAGGGGGCTGCTCCACATGTGGCTCAGTTGTCTTGTGTCACCAGGACATCAGACATGTCCTCTGTACCCTCCAGCTTCAGACTCTGGGAATACAAAGGGAAAGCTGAGTTTGACAAAGCCAGACTGTACCCCTCGAAGTCTGAAGGCGTAAAACCCCCACAGGATGAAGGTTCAGAACAACTCCAGCCCCTCCTCAGCAAGGCCAGGGCTGTTGCTTTTTGGGGTTGGACTCTTCTCCAGGGAACAAGGGACAGGAGGACAAGGCCTCAAGCTGTGCCAGGGGAGGTTCAGGTTGAAATTTTTCCGTGGAACAGGTTGTCAGGCATTGGAAGGGGCTGCCCAGGGAGGTGGTGGAGTCTCCATCCCTGGAGGTGTCAAAGGAACACCTCACTTGGTGGTGGCACTCAGTGCTCTGGGCTGGTTGGGATGGTGGAGATCAGTCAAAGACTGGACTCTGTGATCTTGGAGGTCTTTTCCAACCTCAGTAATTCTGGGATTCTATTCCATGACTGGGAACCTGGAACACTCACAACACTTGAAACAACTCTGAGGAGCAAAGTGCTGCCAGACCCAAGGACAGGGAAGGACTGAGAGCAACCAGCTGGGAATGCTGGTGTTCCCAGCCCATCAGTGTCCACTGTGGGCATGGGAAAAGTCCAGAAATCCTGATTCAGGAAGCGGTCCTGCCCCAGGTGTGCACTCACCTTCTCATTTGCCAAGTGCAGGAGGCACATGAAGGCCAAGGGCACGGACAGGTTGGTTGCCATGGCAGCAGGAAGCCTATGGAACGGAAGGGAGACCAAGATTAGGATGGACAGAGCACAGAGATCAGCTCCTCCCTAGGGATCTGCTTTTTTCCACTTTCCCCTTCCGCTGCTGAGCTGGATGAACCCACAGCTCCCCCAGGAAAACCTGGAGCAAGAGAAGGGCTGTGACAGACACAGAGGGGGCTGTTCTTGCCCAAACTTCACTAAAGTCTGTCCTATCTTCAGTCCAACCTGGTTTAGAGTCTCTACCTGTGCAGCAGGTCCTCTGTGATGTTGCTCAGCTTCTTCTCTCCTGCCACCACTGACGCGTCCTTCTCTTTCTCAGCATCTTCTACCTACTCAGCAAAAATCAGAGACAAAGTCTGCTCCCCAAAATCCAGATACAATCCCCTGCAAGTCACACTTGGTCTGTACCACCAACCCATGGGAACAAGAAAGGGATTGCTGATAAACCTGCACAATTCCCTCAGGACACTTCCTGAGGAATCCAGCTCCTCCTGCACTCACCTCTCCCACTGTCCCTTTCTTCTGCCCATCAGTCAACAGCTGCCACATGTTTTCCTTCAGCCTCCTCATGTCCATTTTCTTGGCAGTCTTTGCATATTGAATTTCAATTTTATTGATCTGAGGGAAGGACAGGCAGGGTAAGTGGAGATCACTGGGATCACAGGGATAACCAAGGCATGGTTCCCTTGGGAATGGCCTTTGGTGTTTAATTCCCTCCTCTTACATGAAGGATCAGCTGGGAATAAAGTATCCAGCAGCAAACCCAGGAGACCCTGCACCAGGGAAAGCTGTCTCGGAATCTCTAATCCTGAGACAACTTTCAAGAAATGTTTAATTTTAAGAAATATTTAATTTTAAGGAACTTTCAATTTTAAGAAACTTTGACAGAATCACAGAATCAACTAGATTCTAGTTCTGTCTTTTAATTTTAAGAAACTTCTAATTTTAACTTTTAATTTTTTAATTTAAACAGCTTTTAATTTTTAGAAATTCAAAAATTTCTGAGTGTTGGGAGTAGCCCCCAGTGCTCACCTTCTGGGGCTCAGCGATGAGGTTCAGCTCCCCGTACGTGGTGACGTCCACCCTGTTGAGCTGCAGCCCCTGGGGATTGAACTCCTCTGTCTGACCCAGGAACTCAGAAGGGTTATTGTCATCGTCACTGTCTGCGACCTGGACAGGAGACACAGCAGTGACACCACCAAGAGACATCCCTGAGGAGCCTCTCCACGGTGGCAATTCCTGCCCACATTCTCCACAGAACAGGGTCTTATTCAGCCTCTCTAAGGCTGAATCTAGAGAGAAGAATATCAAAAACATGTCCTGCGTTCTGGGAGTGTCCAAGGTCAGGTTGGACGGGGCTTGGAGCAACCTGGGATAGTGGAAGGTGTCCCTGCCCCTGGCAGGGGGTGGCACTGGATGACCTTTAAAGTCCCTTCCAACCCAAACCATTCCATGTTCTTGCCCATCTCTGGCAGCTCCAGCTCCATCCCACCAGCAGCACTGGGGGTCTCAGACCCTCATCAGACCCACCCCAGAGGCAGCTGAAATACTTGGGTTTAAACTGTTGGTTCAATGGATTTAAACTGACAGGGAGTGGGTTGAGATGGGATATTGGGAAGGGATTCTTCGCTGGGAGGGTGTGGGAGGGGCTGGGATGGAATTCCCAGAGGAGCTGTGGCTGCCCCATCCCTGGCAGTGTCCAAGGCCAGGCTGGAGCAACTGGTGAAGAGGAAGGTGTCCCTGCCCATGGCAGGGAGTGGAACTGGATGGGCTTTAGGGTCCCTTCCCACCCAAACCATTCTGGGATCCCATAATACATGGA